AGCATCACCCCACATGCCTGCATGAAGACTATCATGTTTAGTCAACTGCCAAACATGCTGAGTGGAACTCACCATCCCTGGTCATATAACCACACTTGAAGGTGCATGCATGCATCTGGTTTTGTGGCATGGAACTGGCCAAGGGTTTCCAGGTGGTCATCATACCTCCATTTCTCTGCTTGACACCAAAACTGAGCCTCCAGCTTCCCATTCTCCCACTCGTGGAGAGTCCATTTGACCTAAAAAGACATCACCTGAGTGGGTGGCAATCCCATAACCACAGACTCACTGCTGGTGCAGCTAAAGTGATTGCCAGGAAAGGCATGGGTTGTACTCCATATGCAATGCACTTGCCAGGCAGTCTGCATCCTTGAGCCATACCTTGTTGATGACCTCCACAATTGCAGCTGACTGGTAGGCACACCTTTTGGCAACTGGGTTCTGGGTGATGCTCTGTTCAGGTGACAGTTCCCCCTCTGAGCCATCCCACTCACCTGGAAGATGAAGTGCAGGTCCACTAGGAGTTCCTGGACTGATTCCACCACTTGCCATTGTTCTTCAAGCATTTCTTGGGCAGGATTCATCTCCACTAAAGCTGTGGTCAAGGGGATAATATAATGGCCCTTGACTGCAATTTGTGCTGCTTCAACCACTTTTGACCAGAATTTGGACATACACTCCATCAGCTGTGGTTCATTCAGTGCATGGCTCAACAGACTTCACACATGCATATATTTCACATGACTGCCCTTGTGACTGACATTGCAACTGTGTGCTCAGTGGCCTCATTCAATGCTTCTTCAATTAAGTCACCTCTTTCCTTGTCTTCCAGATAGGGGTTTTTGGAGCCCAACAACCCGTAATAGATTGCTTTGGCAACATGAAGCAGCCCTTGCTCAGCTGAGCTGTGGTCCCCTGCCCTGATTTTGCCTGACATGGGATGGAGTGCGGGGGGTCCAGGCATCCGCTCTGGTGATGTATCATCACCCCTTTTGCCTTTTGTCCAGCTTGTCCTGCGGCTCCATCAATGATATGGGATTAATCTGTACAAAAACACACTGATTTTCTTTGTCAATGGTTCTGCATGGCTGAGAACTCCCTCACAGTCCATCAGATCATTGGTGACAGTTTATGTTCTTGTCCCACCACCTACCAGAAGAAGACCAGAGTGTGACAGCCCATCCTATGGGTGTGGAGAGATTTGCTGCAGAACAAATCTAGAGGTTTCCAACAGGTTCAGTGGGTTTGGGTTAGTGGGTCTGCTTGGACATTATGTACTGGCTGTAGGGGCAGATGGGTCCTGGTGGTGACAAGGGTGGCAGTTGAGACTCTTCCAGCTTGGTCTCACTACCCTTGCCCCCCCCCTGTCATCGCCATCAGTTTCTTTGTGGGATGTAGAGTCTTCCTCTTCCAAGTCATCCTTCCAGGATTTGATTTGTGTTTGCCCTTCACCATCACCTGGCTGTAACATGTCAGGGATGCCTGTTGCCTCACTCTGTTCCTCACCACTGGCCTTGGGGTTATAAACATGTATGACACCAAATGGAAGAATCAGACCCATTGGCATGAATAGAGGTTTACTTCCTGTCACACACTTGCATTTGGCACCTCACAGGCAGCATTCGGGGGGATCCTCCTGGGTTGAGGCTTGGTGTTGGTTGGTTTACTAGTCTGGGCCATACTCACATGGTCAATGGAAAGCAAGCAGGAGAAGGGGTCAAGTCCCATACACTGGTTTAAGCCTTCCCCTTGAAAAAAGTAAACAATGCGTCATCATGTGATGGTTACCTGGCCTGATAAATTGAGTGCCAGATGAATGGGGTGCCAGATCCTGGACCATCACCTAATCCTTATATGTATTGATGAAACACCTCAGGGTACGTCCACCTACCATACTTGGTGAGTGTCACCAGTTTCCATGTATTAGGTAAATAGGGTGGGCTCCACCAGTACTAGTATACTAGTATGACAGAGACTAGGCAGAGACCATCACTGGGTGATAGATGAACCATCACCTCTCATGTCCAAGATGGCCTTGTCTCTCTGGCATCACCCAACCTTCACTCCAGGTCATGAAGTTCACCCCCTCTGCTTCATTCCATCCCTGCTCCTGGTGTGCCAAAGATTTCTGGTCAGCAGCATCTCTATGCAAGCATCTGGCTTTGGCACCAGCTTGCCATGCTGCTGCTGCCAAGCACCAGAAATCCCAGTTGGCCCAGCTCCGGTCCAATGCAGGGTCCATGGACTTCAAAATATCAGAATATGAGCCTCCTCCAGGATGGGAGGAGGCTCTGCTCATGGTTGGTGATAACACTGAGCCTGATATCATCAACCATCACCCACCTGATGAGGTGCCCCAGATGGATTCCTGGCATCCACCACAGCCTTCCAATACAAGCAATCCACATTTTGATATCAAACACTATCCCCAGAAAGACAAGAGTAATCTGGGCCATGCAACTGTGGAATTTGAAGAGCTTTGGCATCACCTGGCCAAGTTGGAGGCATCATGTTATGGCACTTTTGGTAGTGCTGATGAGTGGCAACTGGCTAAATGGGCCATGGATAGTGGTCTCAGTCTATTGAAGATGGATGAACTCCTTGCACTTTGACAGGTCAGTGCGTCCATCTGGCTGGTGACAGTGTGCTTATCAGTTCCTTGCCAGCTTAGCACTCGCCCAGGAAGGGGTTTCCACAACTCATGCAGCCTGTTTCAATCCATAGATCATCTCCCCTGTATGCCCTCATGGATGTGCAAGATGCACACTATCAAAACCCACAATCCGGTGGCACCTATGCAAGAGGTGATGTTTTGGTACCATGACCCAGTTTCTTTGGTCAGGGAGTTGATTGGGAATCCACACTTTGAAGACAAACTGCATTACCACCCAACCAAACTGTACACAAGGGACCATCTATGTCAACAGGCATACTGTGACATGAACAACTTCGAGTGGTGGTGGAATACCCAGGTGAGTTGGCATTTGGCCATCTTATGTCCTCCTCACTCATACAATGGGGTCTAGGACATGATACTGTCTGGAGGCATTGTTGCCCCAGTCATCCTGGCCTCTGACAAAACCCAACTGATCCACTTCACAAGTGGGATGGCAGCCTACCTCATGTACTTGTCTATTGGCAACATTCCCAAGTCTATCTGCCACCAAACCAAAGAAAAGGCAATGATGCTCTTGGCATATCTGCCCACTGACAAGTTGATGGGATTTGGCAGCCCGGCTGCTTGTGCCCATGCTGAGCATCACCTCTTCCACATGTGCATGGCAGAGATTCTACAGCCACTCATCAAGGCAGGAACCAAGGGTGTCAAGATGACCTGTGCAGACAGATACAGTCATATGGTGTTCCCCATCCTAGGGTCATATATAGCAGACTATCCAGAGCAGTGCCTGGTGATGGTCTGCTGTCACCAGCATTGCCCCAAATGCACTGTGCCTTCAGAAGAGAAAGGGGCCCTCACAGAGTACCCCCTTTGCATGCAACAGGTCACCTTAGAGTTAATGCACCAGCTTGACATCACTTCCAATACCATGGCCATCACCTCCAAAAAAAATGTTTATCACAACACAGGCATCCACCCAATTGATCATCCTTTCTGGGAATCCCTGCCTTATACCAACATATGTGCCTGCATCACACCCAATCCTCTGCATGAACTCCATAAAGAGGTGTTCAAAGACCATTTATTTGCTTGGTGTCTCAATCTTGCAGGGGCAGAGGAAGTGGATGCCCATTTCAAGCGGGTCCCCCCTCATCATGGGTTGAAGAATTCTGAAAGAGGGGTTTCAGGCTTATTGCAGATGACTGGTACAGAACATCATCATATGCAGAAAACCATGGCTGCACTGTTGGTAGGACTGCCTGGAAATGTCACCAGCCAGACCCTGCATGCCATGCATGCTATATTGGACTTCATCTACCTATCTCACCTCCCAATGCTGACTGAAGCCAATCTGCAAAGGATGGAACACAGTCTGGCCGAGTTTCATGCACATAAAGAAGCATTCCAGGTTGCATCTTCCTGCAAAGATTTCCACCACATCCCGAAACTACACAAACTCCAGCATTACATAGCTGTTAGGGCAACACAGGCTGACTAAGTCTGCTCACCTAAGAGTGCCAAGAGTCT